CCCAACGTATAACGCAAAACACATTCAGTTCATATTCTTGAGACATAATCTCGTTACATATTACGAGATCAAGGTTTGAGATCTGAACACAAGATAATCAAGCCATATCCCAAAGGAAATCTGAAACGTAAGTAGGCATATCGTAGTCCGATGTTCTTCTATAAGTCCAAAAAAAAAAAAAAAACTAAGAATTGCCTGAAGTACCAGGCACTTTATAGATAGCCCCCTCAATATAAGGCAATATAGGGAGCCTTTTGATTGAATCAGGAATCATCTAGGCGTAAAACGACTGAAAGTAAGACTCTCAGCCAGAACCGCTATGATTGGTTATGTTACTCTACCACAAAACTCGGAAAAAATGGAATCTGTAAGTGTTCTTTCTTATTATTCTTGAGGTGGAACTATTCCCAAGTTGAAAGGAACCGACCCCTGGGCCGACGATGGCAATGAGTACTGTGTATCCGTACGTTCGTACGCTCGTATATTCGTATATTCGTAAATCTCGACTTTCTAGGGCTCGGATCCCCGCCGGCAACTCAGTTCTGCGCCCCACTTCCTCTCAGGTACACAGGCGCCATGGTTCTACGAGACTAAGAGCAAGATCTATTTTCATTGCTCGAGGTACCATCTTCTGCTCAAGTCGCCACGAGGGGAAGAAGAAGAATCCTCCACATGTTCTCACTTTAAATGGCTTCTCATCCTCCAGCCCTGCAAATGGGCCGAACCCCTTTTTGACTGCAACACCAGAGCAATAGACGAAGGGTGACACTATACTATTCATACACCTTGCATATAAACGTACCGTCACCACGGACTGTCTTGCATTCTACACCCATGGCCGACCCAACTACCGACGAAGATGCTGTATATTTCGCCCTGTACCGCTACACGCCCTCGATTGCGGCAGCCGTGGTCTTCACTGTGGTGTTCTGCGCGCTTGCCATTTTCTTCATCTATCGCATAGTCCGGCACCGAACACTTTTTTTCATTCCCTTCTTGGTTGGACTGATCTGTACGACCCCCTCTCCTTGGATTTCAGAAGAGAGGGAAACTAACTGGACCTGCTGGGGTATTAGTTGAGGCCGCCGGCTACATCGCGCGGATCTTCTCGCACTTCGACACCCAAGCCCTGGGCCCCTACATTACGCAAACGATGCTCATCCTCGTCGCGCCGCCACTCTTCGCCGCCTCCATCTACATGACCTTGGGCCGCCTCATCACCCAACTCCACGCTGAATCCGCCTCCCTCATCCGCGTCCGGTGGCTGACCAAGATCTTCGTCGTGGGCGATGTTATTTCCTTCCTCTTGCAATGCGGAGGCGGCGGATACATGGCCGCCGGCACCGAGTCCGCCATGCTCGCCGGCGAGCACATCGTCATCGCCGGCCTGGCGATCCAGCTCCTCTTCTTCGGATTCTTCGTGCTGGTGGCCTCTCTCTTCCACTGGCGGTGGGGTTACGCAGCCCCCCATTCCACCACCACAACCACCACCCTCAAATCCCGGAGCGGCTGGCTCTCGTGGCGGGGGCTGATGTGGGCGCTGTACGCGGCATGCACATTGATTCTTGTTCGGTCTATCTTCCGGGTGGTTGAGTTCGTGCAAGGCAACGACGGGTGGATCATGCACCGCGAGTATCTGCTGTATATATTCGATGCATTGCTTATGGCGGGAACGGGAATGGTGTTAGGGTTTGTGTTCCCGGGATCATTTTTGGAGGGGCGGAAACGCGGCGCGGAGAGGGTTGATTCTGTTTGATGTTTGATTTAGTCAAATAGATTCTTCTCCTGCTTTCAACCTTTTTTTTTTTTGAGAATTGTTTCTCTGTTCTCCTTGCTTTCTTTCTGCCTTCTTTCTCCTTTGTGTAGCTACGGTGGGGGAAGGGGGCGGGGGAGGAGCTAATTTGCTGATAGCGTGCTGAAATTGATTTATAGTGTCACTTTGAAGCTTGATTTCCTTGGAGGATTTACTGTTTATTTCTTCTTCTAAATGGAGAACACAAGCGAAATAAATCTGCCATAATAATAGGCAATTCTCGTCTTAGTTCCCTCGATCAAGACTTTCATTTTACCAAGGCTGGTTAATGTGAATAGTGGCCAGGAACGAGTTAGACAAGATTAAAAGGGGGGGGGGAGGATGATCTCGTTGCATTAGGGAAAGGTTCCTCAAGGCCCAATCACTTATTATGAGGGTCTAGTAAATTGCACGGTTTCGTATATTCGTATAAAAGAAGTTTACATTCGGAACCAGAAGGTCACACCCAGTCGCGAAACTCTGGTTCCCGCATGTGTGGAGAACCAGGGGCCATGGAGAAAGAAAAGGTTATTCGGGTGCCACCCAAGCAAATTTTGGCCCCACAGAGACTTGCAGGTTTTGAGTATCCCGGAAGAGGAACGGAGGGTATATGGTACTATATGCGAATTAGGGACGGGATTACGAAAAGTACGAGATTTGCCTTCCTACCAGGGACAGGGAGGGAAAAGAGGACTAAAGAGCAAAGAGGAAAATTCCCGACCGGGGAGAAGAAAAGGTCAAAAGTGTGAGTGAGCCAACAGATTTCGCTTCATCGAGACTCCGCAATGACGGCCATGGGCCACGTCAATAGACCACTTAGTGCCTCGTTCTCTAGTCGGCTCACCAGCCGCATAATCTTCTTAATCTCCGAGCGAAAGCCGCTGTTCAGGTACCACACATCTTGAAATAGGATTGAAACAAGGTAGAAATGGGCTAGGATCGTGTACGAAAACCCATCCGCGATCCCCAGGTGGTCGACAGCGGAACTCTGGAGGCTGTCAAAGAAGCGAGCCGAAAGCATACAAGGCCAGGAATTCACGGCGCTGTCTTCGATGTCGTTCTGAATGTCGAGGGACGCGGGGAAGTCACGCTCACTCCGCGAAAATTGCAGGGCGTAGAGGATGCGCATGTAGATCTCTTCTAGTCTGTCGATGGCGTGGAGGTGGTCGTGTTGTGGGTACTCATCTTGTTCGTGGTCGGGCTGTGAACTGTCATCCACTACTTTACTAGGTGTTGGTTGGTCGTGGTGATCGGTCTGCTGAAGTCTGCTGAGGCTATCTCCATCAATGGACACCGTGGCTTCTTGGCTTGGAGACAATGTCTCTGCAAAGATGCGAAGCATTTGAAGGGCTCGGCAGGCACCCTGGGCGAACACGTGGAAGACTTTCGGGGCATACCTCAAGCGGGGAAATTGCGATGAGGAAATGGCCGGCATAGCCGCCTTCCAATCGTCGTTGCCGTGCGGGTAGAGCAACATGGTCCGCAGTCGTCCGCGCTTGAGAGTGAACCAGTGCCCCTCAACTATGCTTGTCAGGCCGCGGACAAGATGCAACCAGTCGATGTACGGGATCTGGTCATTGTCCGCTTGGCTAAAGCCCGGCCAGGCGGTGCAATCTTGATTTCTGGTAGATATTGAAGCAAAGGAAATAGCGACGATGAGAAGGGCGCCGCAGAGGACTTCTTCTGCGGTAGCGGGAGACATATCAGTCAAGGCCTGGCGGAACCCTTCGAGGCCCCTTTGATGATGCTGAATGACGCGGTGATACTCAAGCTGAAGCTCGCGTTGGCTGCAGGCGGCCAAGGAAGACGGACTATCGTCTATGCCTAAGGCGGTTGATTCCGTCATGTGGGCTTGATATAGAACATGCTCGCCCGAGAGAGCGAGGAGTAGATGCATCAAATACTCTTTTTTGGTCGCCATATCTGGGATCACCTGTTCCCAAATATATCTGCGTGTCGCACTGAGGGTCATCCTCTTTGAAGTGTGCATCATGAACCTTGACAGGAGTCGTAAGTCGGCTAGATTGATATTTTGGTCGAGTAGAGGGGATTCCGTGGACTGTCGTTGGTGACAGAATTCCAATGGTTGCAAGAGGTCTGCTGTAGAGCTTGAACGTCGAGAAGACCTGCAAGGCGCAGGACTAGGCTTCATGTGTTAGTTTATTCATCTAAGATTCCGATAGCAGTCAGATAATCTGCATACGTGGAGAGTGCTGATAGAGGATATGAACAGGTTTCACCGCGAAAAGCGCATGCGCCACAGATAGGCTGCACCTCGTCGCACTGAGCTGAACTGTTAGTGCATCCATTCATAAATTGTCGAAGAAAGTGTTTGCTCACTTTGACTCTCCGTTGCTTACAGGTGAAGCACCCCTTACGGGATTTATGGTGTCGGACGCGACGCCTCCTTTCCTTTGATAAACGCGAGCTACTATCCTGGTCCCGTATGGTTCCAGACTCTCGTGGTGATGGTGTGCCGGACATACTATCTGTAGAGTACGCAGAGTCCGATGAGTTGATTGAAGGCGATGCTAAAGAGCTTGACGCTGGTGCTGAGTTTGTCTGGAGGTTGGATCTTGTTTCTGCCATTTGGGTATTACGGAGGGCCAAGAGGTCCAGAGCCGCACATATACTGCCTGTCGTCGCTGGGATTAGCGACGGTGTCGGCGAGACGAGGAAGAAGAACATCATCTCTTTAATCTCACGTATACTAAAGGTTGCTTGTTAGGGGTTAATTGAGCCAATATAATTAAGCAAAAGGCGAGGAAAGCATTTCCATCGGTGGCAGGTGCGTGGTACAGTGACGGGCGGAAGTCTTTATGTACGGAATCAATCTTGGAGAAGGGATACTCTCGTGGCGAAAGATTCAGCATCACCGGACTTACATACCTATCCTGTATCTATTGATCTGGTATATCTTTGAACATTCGCATTCGGTTTCGTGGCTGGGCTGGTCGACGAGAGACCTGCGGGCGGCGACATATGGCGATACGAATATACGAGGTGGAAACAATTGCAGCCCTAGTGATTTTTACGTCCAGCATGACAACTCATTCTTAAATCATCCAAGCTTACATATATACCTGGTTCGTGCGATCCTTTCCCATTTATTGACTCCTCTTAACCCTTCTTGCTGTCTACCTAACTGCCTAATTACTGAAATGAGCAGCGACAGCAGCAGCGATAACAGCACCAATGCTGCCGCAGTGTTCGCATTCTATCGATATGACCCCAGCATGTCTGGTGCGATCATCTTCACAATACTCTTCACAATCACGACGATATGGCATATTGTCCAGCTATGCCGGACTCAAACATGGTTCTTCATTCCATTTGTGGTAGGGGGCATTTGTCAGTGAATTCTCCACGCCATCAAATCTTACACCCACAATCAAATGCTTACTTAGTACATTCACCAGTCGAAATCATAGGCTACATCGGCCGAGGACTTTCAAGTCACGAATCGCCCAACTGGACTCTGGGCCCTTACCTCCTTCAGACCTTATTCCTCCTTCTTGCTCCCGCCCTCCTCGCCGCCTCAATCTACATGCTTCTCGGCCGGATCATCCTGATCCTGGGCGCAGAATCCCACGCCATCCTCCGCAAAAAATGGCTAACCAAGGTCTTCGTCACCGGAGACGTCCTCTCATTCTTCCTCCAAGGCGCGGGTGAGTTCAGCCATCCAATCTACCCCCTCCCCTCAACCCCTCTTTCCCCTGAAACAGTCCTGACACCCCGCAAAGGAGGCGGAATCCAAGCCAGCGGCAGCCTCTCCGGCATGCAAACCGGCGAACACATCATTGTCGCCGGGCTCCTCGTGCAGATCTTCTTCTTCGGTTTCTTTATGGTCACAGCCGGCGCGTTCGATCGTAAGCTGAAGAAATACCCCATCCCGCGGTGTCGCGATCCGTCCGTCCCCTGGCGAAAACATCTCAATATTCTCTACCTCACCAGCTTCCTCATCATGGTGCGGTCCGTCTTCCGGTTGGTCGAGTACCTGCAGGGTAATGATGGGTATTTGTTGCACCATGAAGTTTTCCTGTATATCTTCGATGCGGTGTTGATTTTCTCGGCGATGGCGGTGTTTAATCTCTTTCATCCGAGTGAGATTACCCATTTGTTGCATGGTGGGGGGAATTATGAGTTGCAAGGTGCGGGTGATAAGTATGGTGTGTGAGGTGGATTGGATCGGATAGTGTGGTTTGTGTTGCTTACATTCTGTGTTCTCATTCGGATGAAGGAGGGGTTGATAGAGTATAGAGGGTGAAAGAAGGATTTGGAGCCTAGATGCTGATGTGGAATACTATATATACTCCATTTTCGACTTGGGTGAGTTCAATCCTGTTTTAGAGGGTGACTACTTGGCCACAAGGCTGTCGATAGAATCTGGGAAATAAACCCTTCTTTTGTTTTGCAGATCTTGAAATGCTTTCCACTGTGGAACATGTTCCAAGTACTAGGTACGGCAATCGGAAATAGCAACGAGGGCCTTATGCTTATCAGATTGTGCTCTTATATAAAGCGATGCGGTCGCGTCAAGGGGCAAGGATGCTAGAATCATTAACATGAAGATGCGACCTTGACTTAGTTGGCCAGCGGGCGCCTGGCTAGTTGATAGTACCTCGCAACATGCCGGTTGTTAAGAAACTATGAAATCAGACGTGGTCGGTGGCTTGAAACTCTAAACCTCTGATGATGATGTGTTATTAACCTCCCATGTGAATAAAACAGCTAAATATATAGGTCTGTACTTGATAGTTAGGGCCAGTTTCAGAAGACATGAGCACACTGTACGAACTGCAAGCTACTTGAAGTATGATTTGCCTATGTGCTATCAACACATAAAACAACTCCTGCAGGAGATCATAAATTCCGCATTATGTATGAGTCAATCATGATCGAGATCGGTAAAAACAAATTCGGCTTTCAAATTCATATAACGCCCGCTGAAATATTCGCAAGCAAGAAAAAACAACCCTCCATCAAAGAAGCAATATTGGAAACGCCGGATCTTCAGCATCAGCATCAGTTGTCATCCCACATCAGCCACAAGCAGATAATTGCCATGCAGACCATGATGCAACCCAGCACCCACAGTGATGCCGTCACCAACTCTGCGGAGGCGGAATTTGCCGCTCCCTTGTGAGTAGGGGAGTGAGTGCCGGTCAGAGTAGTAAGGTCAGGGCTCTCATCAGTGACGGTGGTCTTCGATGCTTTGGCAGTAAAGGTCACAAGCACCGTGACGCGGCTAGCGGTGCCGGTTTCCTGAGGAGAGAAGGTCGCAGGGACCACGGAGCCTTTGTACATGTAGATTGTCGAGGTGGAGGTGGAGAGGTGACGGGTGGAGGTTGGGGAGGGTGATTCTTCGGGGGTTGGGAATCCGACGAGCTCGTGGAGACTCACGGGGGTGGGGGTGGGCCAGTCGGTGGATGGGGGCTCGGTGCGTGCGTTGGAGCAGGGGTAGTTTCGTTTGAGCCGGGTAGGACTGGGGGTGGAGGTAGCAGTAGGGACTTCCAAGGTCGTGCTCAGTGCGATGACTCTAATGGTAGTGTAGGCAGTCGAAGTGCGTGTGAGTCGTGGCACGGAAGTTGAGGGCCAGTCAGTATGGGAAGAAGTGGAGGGCCCGTAGACGACAGCAGTGCTACTAACACTGAAATCTTCTCCTTGTCCGTTCTGTTGGGTGTCCTCACAGAGAAGAGTCTCCGGAACGGCAACAGGCAGAACGGGGCTGGAAAGGACGTAGCCAGTGCCGTTGAAGGCGCAGAGAGCGTCGCCGGCTGAGATAGAAGTTTCTTGACCTGTCAGAGTATTAGTTTGATAGTCTAGAAGAAGCAAGAGCAGTATAAGCTGGGTGAAGGTACAGATAGACTCACAGGTCGCAGCTTGCTTGTACTCATCCGGAAGCACTTTAGACAGGCTAGTCGCGCTTGCAGTAAGCCTTTAGTGTCTTCTGAATCCAGGAACAAGGAAGAAATTACAGGATGTTACAGGTATGAATCTCGACAGACACATTCGAAGCACAGCTGATAAGAGTTGGCCCCTTTAGCGAGCCGTGAAGGCAGTAACTTCCACCATTCTGGGGGCAAAGAACAATGTTGGTATCGGGGTCACTACACAAGGCGCGACCGCGTCAGCTCACTTCAGGCTCTTACTGAGGCCGACTTACTAGACTATCTGTGCTGTGGTGCTCAGCAGAAAGGAGAAAAAGATTGTGACCGTCAGGGTCCAGAAGGAACGCATGGTAAGTAACGGGATTTAATGTTCTTTGTAGACTTATTTTCTGAATCAGATCGATCAAGCTGGAAGATACGAACGGTGATCGGGAATGAAGAGAAGAGAAAGAGAACAAAGAGGATTCAACACACAGCGAAATGGATATACACTCTAGCGCGTTTCCTCACCGATGCCCAAGAACGCGTCACTCCAAAGTCGCGTCTGAAGCACCACCATGGAGGTTGTTCTATACTTTTTCACCCTGTAATCGATAGAAAGAAAAGTAACTTACTGTTCCTGCGTTGAATAACTTTCTACCTGACGTGGTGCCACGATGAATTCATCTAATATCGATCCATATAGTAGGGTTTGTAGATGACATCCGTGCCAAGCATGAGGCTATACTCATCTGAACCCTTCGAGCTGAAGCATATGGTCTAAGCTTCAAATTACAGTTCCTATGAGATATAATGCAGACTGCTAAATGAGTGTAGGGGACTTTTGTACTGCTTTTCTGTGTTGAAATAGCAATTTAAAATGCAACAGGCATGTCAAGTTCAGAAGTGCTATCTATGCCAATATCCCAGTCATGTGACGGCCGGACGAGGCGGTGGCTGCCTTGGTCTTATTGGATATTGGAAGCTTTACGATGCCTATGCACCGCCGAGGCACCTGACAAGACATGGTGTCTTATCGCCTCGACTTGTTCTCTGCTCGAATTATTTCTCCGTTCTTTCTACAACTCTAGCCTTCTCCTGTGAGTTAGCCGCATTAAATCGATACGCAACTGCGAATAATTATATTTTGTTTCCTGAAACCTGCCTATCCTATTTGGACCCTTTTTCGTCCTGGAGATGTTGACAGATTTGCCTTCTTTCTATTCATATGTCCTTACCAAGTCTTGACTTCAAGGCTCGACGGCGGAACCTGGTGGAACGGGTCAACGAAGAGTTGCGCCAACACTTCATGCAGGGAGATGAACCCTCCAAGCGCTTTATTTGTCGCCAGGCCCTGCTGGAAATATGGCAAGACGAGACGCGGCTGCATACCTTGCTTGGTCCCAATCCGATTTCATCGCAAGATATACGTCGGGTACAGCGTGAATGCGTCGCCGTATTATCTATCCTGACTTATATTAGAGCAATCAAAACCATTGCAAGGTTTCACGCCATCCTTTATACTGACCAGATCAACGATACAAACCTCCCATTGCAAGATGGGGCGATACGAAAGCTCTTATCGCTCGAACCGGAGCTGTTCTTTTTATTCAATGACTACCAATGGGCCTTCTGTCCGGCCGAGATACACTGCGATCGAGACCCACCATTGCAACTGATCGATGCGCGTCGTCGTCTACCCTTCCTATCCACACCGAAATTGATTGGGTCTGGCGGCTTCGGGGTAGTAGAGCTTGTGAAAATCGCCCCACGTTACCTAAAATTAAGTCGAGGAGCCGATTTCGAGTATCCTTTTAAAGTTGCTTGCAAACGATTCGAAGGCGTCAGGAAGCTACAGGACTTCGAAACTGAATTGGCAAACCTACAAAATCTCAAGAGCAGCCTCACAAACCAGGCTCACATCTTGCAACATCTCACCACCATTTCACATGGACCACAGTACTATATCCTCTTCCCGTACGCAGAGCTAGGTGACTTGGACCAATTTCTCTTAGATGGTGCGGGAATTTACGATTTTCGCCAACGGTTCCCACTCATTGCGCCTAACTCAACACCGGAAATTTACAAGTCTCTGTTGTATCAATGCTGGGCTTTGGCTTCGGCTCTGGACTGGCTGCACAATGGAATCAAGATCAAAACCAAGGATATCAAGTGCGCCCACATGGATCTCAAGCCTGACAACATTTTGATTATGAAGGACTCTAGCTCAACCGTGGGAAAGTGGATGATATCAGACTTTGGGATTTCAGTCGCCGAGCATGATCGTCATAGTCGAGCGCATGCACTGAGCATCAGAGATCTTTATCGCGAGGTGACCATTGACAGAGTAGCAGTCCCGCAATTGGGGACATACCAACCCCCTGAAGGGATTCATATGAAGGGCGACTCAGTTGAAACCGAAGGCGCAGGGCGCCGCAGCGATGTATGGTCTTTTGGATGCGTGTTCTCTGAGGTTCTTGCATGGGCGATCGGCAGACGAAGAGAGGTGGAGGAATTTGCGTACTCGCGAGCGCGCCGGGGTCAGAAGGATGCTTTTTGGGAAGAAATTATTCCCAATACGCTGTTTCCAGGCAAGAAAGAGTTCAGATTATGCGACGCAGTGGCGAAGTGGTTGAATGACCTCCATACGCGGAGGTTCTCGACAGACCCTGTTGTGAGGCTTTGGGCCCAAAAGCTCGCAAAAGAGATATTGATTGTCAACAAAGCAGACAGGCCTAGTGCGGCAAAACTCGAGAAAATTGTGGGAGGTCTATACAACGCTTGTGAAATGCTGAAGACCACCTACGATATGCAGGATTCAGGTCCGCCATTACTACGAAGATATGAACCTCCAGAGCTAGTCGTCACTCCTGCATGCGTTTCAGGCATATCCCCGGCCATCTCAAGCCCGAGCTTGTCCACAACAGGGACGCGGAGCGGTTCCAGTACTTTTAGCCAAGCGCCTACTCCAAGCACACCTGCCGATTCCTCCTACGGCCACACCATCCTCCCACACAGTAGTAGCGGCATACTTGCCGCAGCTATATCTCGATCTAAAGTACAGGACGCGGTGCCAGTGGCGATGATCTACAAGAATCGAATCGAATTCATCCAGATCAACCTCTCACATGCTGGCTCACACGAATGCAGGACAAAATTGCTTCCTGATGAATGGAGAAGTGGGAGTGCGGGAGTGACAATTGAAGGCCGGTATTTTGCAGCTTGGGGGGACTGCAAGAAAAGCATGAAGAGACGTGTGCGTATACTCTACTTATCTTGACATTCTACTGACAAGCCTCAGGTATACATCGGGGATACAACGTCTGATCCATTGTCGATGCTCCCATCGGATATAGGATTTATTAGCTCGGTGGCAATATCGGCCCAGGGAATACTTGCTTTCGTTGGCGACAAGGAGATCTTGCTACGGTCGCAAGCATCCCAATTTGAGCCCCAATGCTTATACAGCGAACCAGAGCTGGATCAAACATTTACCCAAGCAGTATTCAACGATGAGGGCAGTATGTTGTTCGCATGGGCTATTGGGAGCAGACAAGAATCCTTGTATGTCTGGAGAATCGAGAATAACAATCCCTCTAGCCGTCGTCATGTGGTTCACTATAGCTTAGTATGCCTCAGTCATCCCAGTGATTGTCTTGGTGTTCTGATGAGTTTACAGCAGGCACGTGGCCACCAGCCCACCACCATCATTCCATACAATCTCCACTCCGGATGTATCCTTGCAAGACAAGACCGAAAGGACTACCTTGCAGTTTCTTTGAGCAAGCATAATACGGGTCTTCCTGGCATTGAACGACACAATGAACACTTGAAAATAACTATAGGATGTTTACTGCGCGACGAATGGTTGCTCGGGCTGACGGACCCTGGTATTGTGCGATCCGATGTGCGTCTGTTGAGATACGCAGTCATCTGTACAGACGGCCAAAGTCAATTGGGCCAGCCGGGCAAGCCGCTATGCAAAATGCCCAAGGTCTGCAAGGATGCACTGTCGATGCAGGCATTTAAGGACGGAAGCATGATTGCGGTTGTGGTATGCACCAAGAATGATATATCCTTGGTCAAGCTCAGCGATACCCCATAAAGTGCGAGAACACCACGCATCAACATCCAGCATTGCCCCTGTAGGAACCAAAACAGTACACAAAAGCAATGAAAGCTTTTCTGTCAGCCTTTGGTTATGATCTGCGGCCCCAAATCTGTCTCCACTCTAGTCGCCCTCACCGGCCGCTGGAACAAACGAAATGGCTTTCTTTTCCACCACGCATCGAACCAGACAATCAGCACATATATGAGACCCGTTGCAAGCGTCAGTGGAAGCCATGTGGCTATAAAAATCCAAAAGTCGTGGGCGATCACGATCTGGCGGGCGTCCGTGTCGAACACGAAAAAGTTCATGCCATAGAGGCTGACGATAAACGAGCCGGGTAAGTAAACTGCTGAGACGAAAGTTATGATTTTGACTGCGGCGCTATCATCGACCGAGTCCCGCTGTAACATGTCGAGATGACCGATGAGGTCTCGTAATTCGCGATCGATCTTCGCTGTATCAAGTTGGTTGTGAAGAGATAAGGTATACCCGGCCTGCATTTTATCAGTCTCTATGATGTCTCGGAAGTTATGCAATGGGAAGTTCGTTCGTCCTAAGGCATACCAAATCAATTGCGTTCCGAATCCGGGGAATGAGTTCATCACAGCTTGCAAGGTAACCATGAAGTTCAGTTCCCATGGCGTCGTATTCCATCACAATCTGCTTCAACGCATCATCTGCTGTTGTTAGCGTGCCAGAGGCTGTCGCAGCTTTCAGCTTCTCTACCAGCTCGAGGTTTCCTCGACAACACACTTGAGCACGCAGGACCGAGTCGTTCAGATCTCGAAGTGAAGAGACCATGTCATAGCTCTCCAGGGGTGTGGCTTCCTCTGGAACAGCTGTAAGAGCGAGGTCGTTCTAATATAGTTCCAAGTTGAGATGAATCATCAGCCACTTGATCTTCTGAGACGATGATGCGAGTGCGATGTGAAAGGTAGCAGCCTACATGTTTCTCAAACTGCCTCCCTAGGTCCCGCAGATACCATTGCCAGTTTCCCGAAAATGAGGACAAGGCAAGCGAGTGGAGAGCTGTGGAAATATAATTGTTGTGCCCAGAATCTCCACTCAATCCCACAAGCATGCTTCTTGCAATTTGCAGCTCATTGTGAATTCTTCGTTCGAGAACACTGGCGTCATTCGGATGGAGGAGAATGAAAAGATCGAACGCTTTTCCACGTTGTGCGCGAGAGTGATGATGGTATACTCCGGTATGGCGCCACGACCAAGTCAGATGTTTCTGATGCTTTTTTTCTTCGACATAGTTGATCTGATATGTGATGTCTGCAATAATTCACATAAGCCCCTGTGAGGCGGGAGTAAGGAATAGGAATGCGACGATGACTTACATGAGTTTTTCTCATCCCCACCAACATACAGATTACTTTTTCCTGCTTCTGAAACGTTGACATTGCTTCCGAACGAGAGCAGCACCTGGAGAAATGACGGGTGGACGTGATATCTTTGCAATAGATTCGCCAGCAACCTGGGCGAGATTTTTAAGGGGGTGATTGAATCGGACGAGTAAATTGAACTGGTTCATTGAGTTAACGATAAACTATATTTGATGACAAATGTAAGGGTAAGTTATACATGATCCTTAACCCCTCATCGTCGGACGCCAGAGCCCGCTGCAGGGCTTCCGAGGTTTCGCAGAGGATGGTATCACTGCCACCGCTCTTAACATCCGTCACTCGGACGCGGATTTCCTCCCTGGATGTGAGGACTGAAGGAACGCGAGTGGTGAGCAATCTGTCCAAAGCAATCACATTCTGAAAAGTCGAATTGTGATGCGAGGGCAGCTCTTGCAGATAGGCATGCCACATATCCGTATGCAGTCCGGTTCCTGTCATCCTTCCTCAGACCTTGAATTCAAAAAGTCTGTCTAGGACGAGGAGAGTATAGGACGAGAATCTATCCATTTATAAACCCTGTTCATCGCAGTGGTGTGACGAGATCACAGATTACAGATTACAAGTTGATGATGATCGGGGAGCGATGCAGCTAAGCCTTGATTGCCTCAGGCCAATCCTTGTCATTTTCACTCATTCACATTTACACATTCACAGTCTCACAGTGTGTTGGCTGACCTTGTGAGGCTCAGCCACCAGGATCCATCGGCGGATTTCTCTCCCCTTTCCCAAATCAGCCGGACGCACGAACCTCGCCTCCTTCCCACTTTCCCCGCGCCACCTTAACCTAGTGCTGTACAGTACAGTACTCCGTACACTTGGCCACCTACTCCTCCTCATCGCGCTCCTTCAACTCAAGTGCCATCTGTCTGGTTGTTTCATTTTCTGTCAGCTAGCCCTGTACCCAAGGCAGAATTATGGGAACGGCCTTACTCCAACTCCTCCTTTGCCCAAGGTTAGCTCAGCCCAGCTTACTAGTCACACAGGGCGCTGAACACTTGCCTCGTCCATCCTCAGATTTACCCATACCACCCATCGTTGACGGATGAACTGCCGCTTCAGTATTAGCGTCCAAAGAACTCACGACGTCTGTTTAGAACGCAGACTTGCCTTCACTTCGGTCGTGATGTCGTCTCCATATCTTTGCTTCAAATAATCCACAATATCGGCGGCCATCTCGATATACGTGGAGACGCTGGGAGAAAGTACGTGCTGATATAGTTTATCGGAAGCCGCCATCGTGTTAGATGCTGGCTACAACGTGCAGTCCGGGCACTGCCTCCCTCTCTTCCGGCACCGTGATTATATACACCCTTGGTCGCATACACGAGTCAGCAACCGATGCACTTCATTCACGGAAAACATGGTGTTTCTTGGCTCTTTTCACCAATCAGAATTGACGCTAGACAGCAAAAGAGAACAATCATCGTAGATTGCGCCCCGGGCTCGTGAGTTGCAGACGCTCGGCAGCCCCTCTTATCAACAGCCAATCCAATCCCATTCGGTTGTTTGCGGCTCAGCTTTGCCCTGTATTCTTGGTCAGAAGCACCCAGTGTCCTTTCAAAGTCATAGCACCATGGTACAGCAAGCCTTTGTTGATTTGAATATTGCTCCATCCATGACGCATGTCATTCTGTCTCCCTTGCCGCCGCGCTTTGTATCTTGACGTGACATTACTTCATTCGTTCTGCCGCTGGCATAACCACGATCCACTGTATCATTTCCTGCAATGCCCGTTCGAAGGGAAACTCCAGAGAGACTCAAGTATGTCTTTTCAACTTGCAAATGGTTTTATTGTGACACAAGGCTAATACCTCCTCACTAGGCAAGAGCTTTTCGGTTTCCAGATCTTTGTGAGCACCCAATTCCCTTCTAGTATCGAAATTATGCCTGACTCCCAACCAGTTCATTACTCTAAGCGCTGTGATTGGAAGTGGAATCTTTGTGAACAATGGATCTGCTCTTGCCATTTCCGGCCCTTTGGGCTTGATTCTTGCAGCGCTGATCACGAGTGTTGTCATTCTTTCGGTCAATGAGTGCGTTGCCGAGCTTACACAACAGTTTCCGGTATACAATGCTATTGTTGAATACGTTCGCACTTTCGTTGATGACGACCTTGGTTGGGTAATCGGACTGGTCTATTGGTACGTACAAGCTGACCCATCTCCCTAGAGTGACAGCGCTCATAAGACCTGAAGGTATGCGTATGCTGCTTCCTTTGCAAGCCAGAACAGCATGGCAGGATCGCTGTTAGCATACTGGGGGCTAGGAACTACCTGGAGGGCGCTTATATGCTACGCCCTGGCTCCAATCGTGTTCCTCCTGCTGAATTTAACTGGTGTTTTTGTGAGTTACCTCGCTCATCCCACTTTACCCTGCGCTAATTGACACACGACACACAGTGGTATGGTATAGTAGAAACGATTGGCGGCTTTCTGAAGCTTATAATGATCGTTTCTATTTCTATCTATCTTTATGCAATTGCTGGAAATGGTAAGTGGCCCCCATGTGCCACAGATGTTGCTGTGCTGACCTTGTGGCCAAGGCGATACCAAGGGAATTGCCGATGGTACGTTGTATTCTTATAATCAAAACAATACTCCATACTCACACATTGCAGTCTCCTCTCCAAAGTTCGAGGCCGGCATGGGCTTCGAGAATTCTGGCCATGCTGCGTGGTAGGCTCGAGTTCCTTCTTTATTTAAAAGCATCTTACTCACGGCTTAGTTTCGCCATCCCGATCACCGCCTATGCGTTTCAGGGTATTAAGCTATATGCGATGGCAGCATTTGAAGCTCGTGACGCACACGCAATTCGTTGGCCTTCAAGGTGGATATCTTACGTCGTGGTGATTGTATACATAATGTGCACCGTGGGCGAAATCCTTACCGTCAGCTGGAATGACAATCGCCTTCCACGACTTCATGATGGAGCGCAAGAGAGCGCCTTTTTAGCGATATCAAGCGTTGGTTCAGCGAGCAGCATGATAATTCTTGCCGCCCTTAATACCAAAAGCAAGACCATGGCTAGCTTTCTCAATGGCTGCCTGCTATTCAGCGCCTTCTCAGCGGCCAACACCTCTCTGTATGTCGCATTGCGTACCTTGTATGGGATTGCAAGGTCTATGCCCAGAGAGTTCTGGGTCACCAAGAAGCTCAGCATCCTAAGCCAGGGAACTCGGGTTCCAGTGGGCGCGCTGCTGGCTACGGTTCTTGCCTTTTGCTGGGTGCCTTTTCTGAGACTCAACAATGGCTTCGTTACGCAGCAGGTGCATGATCCGCATTTCCACTTTTCAAATCGTGTTGACTGACTGACTTCTCCAGGTAGTTCAAGTGGTGAGCACCTCAGCTAGCAACGCAATCATGATTGTATGGGCAGTTATATGCCTAGCGTTTCTTCGCTATTATTACTGGTCAGTGAGATTCAATTGTGCAGGTTCGTGTAGAGCTGGTTTGCTCACAATTGCGGCAGGCTGAAGAAACACGACCCCGAACTCCGGCATTCAAGTCGCCCGGAATTTATTCGAGACTCCCCGCAATATTCACCTCGCGGGTCTCTCTTGGTCATTCAACCCGTACAGGCCTGGGTTGGCTTGATTGGATGTATCGCGATCTTCGCATTTTCCAGCGCAACATGGTGGGGGTCCCATGCGACAGTGACCGAGGTCGCCATGGCATACGGGGCCGTGAGTGTTTTCTGAGCCTCTTCCTTCCTTGTTGGTATCCTAATTGTTTGCAGCACCTCGTTGTTGTCCTCTTACTCGTGGTTCTCAAAGTATGCAGGAGGCGGAAAGAATGGTTTCGCGCGACGCCCAGTGCAGTCCAGCTGCTGAATATTCTGAATGACTTGCGTGTTCGCAAGATCGATCAATGGGAGCCGACGACCCTGGAACGTGCCAAGAAAGTCTCGGTGCTTTTGCTCCGTCGTTACCGGAAGTTTGGGCCGGAGGAGGCGCAGAGCCAGGAACCACAGGAGCTTTATGGTCGGGTGGTTGTCTCTCAGCATGACACCAGTGGCCTGGCCAAATTCAGAACCCCGGTCCCTGTCTCACAACCTCGTGATTCATCTGATGTGTGAGGTGTATGTATCCAGATATATCATCACTAATCGTCGAGTCTGCTGGGAATAAATTAAGCGATGACTGGTCCACTGTCCAAAATGTTCTTCTGTTATGAATAACGTGGGAAGATAGAAGTAAGCCGAACTGGTTCAACTGCAGACTTTTGTATATTATGTGACGATATCAAAGAGGTTGCAATAAAGTATAATACTAGCTAGGAACTGGATTGATATGAGGATGATTAATTTAAAACTGTTTCGCAGCCAGTAAGTTGAGTCAGCCCGGGTCTGATTGCTGCTGCCATGCCACGGACTCTTTCAACCTTCGACCCCTTGGCTTGTTCTTCCTCCCCACATGGTTCTCGGGATCAACCAAAACAGTGGCCATCCAGACCGAAGGCTTAGTGGTCTAAGTTACTCCGCACTGTGTGATGATAGCCCAAGGCTTATCTTCATGTTGCACTACTAGTCCCGAGGGGTTTAACTCCCCTGCGCCACATTAACCATTGCTAATAAAAGGACAACCAAGCAGAATGCAGGTGACTATCTTGTGAGCGAGTTAGTGGGACGGTATGTACCTGACTCCAAGCCACGTGAGATCAGATACTACCAATTCTTGCCTTACTTCCTGATTGCCCCCCTTCCGATCACTGACCAGGAAACCATCGTGATACTAACTCACCCCCCCTCGGATTAATGCGACCTTGCGAAGCCTGAGTGTGCACGATGCATCAGGGAGGGGCACGCGATGTCTAGGCTACGAGACGAGTCGACATTTCCTCCACCATACCCCCCGTCACTCGAGTCGATGCCTCCGGCACAAGCAGAAGGCCGGTGACCCAAATGCTCGGACAATTGAATCCGCTCGCACTCCCGACGCCTCTAAATCTGGAAACTGAAGTCCGGGCCCAGCTCTTCTCGACTTTTATGAACACATTCTTCGCTTCCAACTCTAGTCTCAATGTTCTCAGCGCAAAGGATGATAGCTGGTACTTCCTCATGGCGCGGTTTCCGTGTCTAGCCGGCGAGTCGGCGCTTCTAGACCGGTCCATCAAGGCCCTCGTGTGCGCATTCTCGGGGGGGAAAGCCAACGACCTCCCGCTGATGAAATACGGCGGGGAATTATATAGCGATGCGCTGAGGGTGATGGCATGGATACTCCGCCAGCCTCGTTCCGAGTGTAAGGAAGCAGCCGCCCAGATGTTACTCCAGCACTGTCTCGACCTGGCAGAAAGGCTGCACACATGTTTGCCTGATGGGTTGAGCGAGAGCCGCTCCTCAGAGAGTCGACTTTCTGCGCCCTGGGACCCCAGCGTGCTGCGACCTGCTCCAGAGCCACTACCTTTCCCGGAAAATGACCTCGCTCACCCGCCACTGTACGAATTCGCCAATCTAGCCACAGCCAAAACCGTTCTGCTCTTCTGAATAGGGGCATTGACGATCCGCGGACTCATCTCCCACACCAAGACGCTGTGCCAGGAAGGTACCCGATCGACGCTTGGTGCCGTCTCATCGACACTACTATGCATATCGGCCCGCAAAATCCGCCGCACGGTGGCGTATCTCATGCAGTGAGGATGATGATAGGAGAATGAGTAGGACTGACTCGGCTACCCTTCTTGCTATTCTTCTGTCTGGTACCATAGCGCTTACCTATGTTTTGAATTATGGTTATAGATGAGCCACATACCATGCAAGAGGGGTGATGTGATGGGGGGAAGTACTGCCCTGCTACGTCTAGTATACTGTGGGCAGTGAAGATCGCCAGTTTCACCTAAGTCTTAAGCATGCACTGTCATCTCATAACCTTAACTTTTTTACGAGTCTACACCTGAATCATCCAAAAGCGAGCGTGATCTAAACAATACAATATCCTCATCACGTAACCCACCTCACACATCTCAAATCTCTGTTCGCATAACCTCAATCCCAGGAGATCCTATCATACCACACCGTCAGTATCACCGATTACCAAATCTTGAGAAGTAATTTGCAAGAGGAAAGAAGGAGAGTGGGGGGGATAACTTACCACAACATAATCCCCGCCCCCGCCGCAACCGCCAAAAACTGGGTGATCATGTGCTTCACCTCCGTGCGCTTGTCCTTGCCGCTCGTCTCCAGCAGCTCGGGGATGACCGACACCGTGCCCACGTACAGGAACGTCCCCGCCGTGAAGGGGAGAAGCATATCGCCCCAGGTGAGACTCGTGCCGAGGAGACCCGCCGTTGGTGCGGAAGAGGTGGCAGCAGCAGCAGAATTCCCACCGAGCTCCTGCACCGCGATCCCGATGAAGGTGCCCAGGAACGCCCCGATGGCCGTGACGAACTGCGCGCCCATGGCCTTGCGCTTCGAGAACCCGGACTGGATCAGCAGGGCAAAGTCGCCGACCTCGTGGGGGATCTCGTGGAAGAAGACGGCCACGGTCGTGGTGGCGCCGATGGTCGGGGAGGCGTAGAACGAGGAGGACATGGCTAGGCCGTCGGTGATGTTGTGGGTGAAGTCGGCGATTAAATTGAGGTAGCCGCCGAGTTTGATGCTGGTGCTGGGGGTGGGTTCGGGCGTAGCAACAAGGGAAGTGGAGGATGATGGCGGAGAGGCGGCGGCGGGTTTGCGGTTTTTGACGTTGTTGCTGGTGGTGGTGTTGGTGGTGGGGGAGCTGCTGGTAGCTGTGGCGGAGGGTGCGATCTGGCGGTGTTCGTGTTCATGCGAGTGCGAGTGTGAGTGACCCCCCTGGCCGCCAGTCGCGATGCGGAGAGCCTTGTCCATGGCGACGAAGGTGAAGAAGCCCACCATGATGCCGAGTCCCAGGAGGAGGTTGCGGTTCGGCTCGACCATCACGAAGCGGACGTGGTCGGGAGCGTCTTCGCCCAAAAAGATCTCTGGGAGGAGGTGGAAGATTGTGTCGCCCAGGAGTCCGCCGACGGCGAAGGCGACCATCACGGAGAGGGAGGAGGGGTCGATGTTCGGGGGGCAGAGGGCGAGAAGGAAGTCTGAGGGAGGTGTTTGTATGTCAGCTGGGGTGATCGAGATAATGAGATGGGGCCGGCGTACTGGGAGGTCCAGAGATGTAGATGGTGGCCAGGATCGCATTGACCGCTGGGCTGCCGGGGAACAGGACCGCGAAGATCTTGGACATCAGGCTGGTGGTTTGGGGGCTCGTGGCGCGCTTATGCTCGTTGAGGGACTCGACCAAGGGGCATTTCTGAGAATCGTGTCAGTCCCAAATGGACCATGAGAGTATGAGAAAGTAGCACAGCGGAAGTAGCACAGCGGGCAGGATCCACGAAAGATAGACAAACTCACCTGCAACTCATCCTCGATCTCCCCTGCGGACAGCTCTCCGACGGAGATAGCATCCTGAGCGACAGCCAAAGCAGAAAATAAGACTACCCCAGCGGCAAGAGCCAAGACAATGCGACGCATTGGCAGAGAAGCAGTGGAAACCATGACCGTGAGGGGATCCAGCGGGGCAATTGACAAAAGAAGCAGGTTATGGACAGGTCATGGAGAGCTGAGCTGACTGGGGGAGGGGGGAAATTTAAATTACTAGTAGGTAAGACCCTTAGTCCACCCTAGCGGAGAAAGCGGCGGCGCGAGCGCGTGTTGGACTCATCGGAACCCCCGATCTCCGGATCTTTGCTCTCCTTATCAATCTCACGGCAAACATGCCAAGACAAGAAATGCAAACAACCTTCACAAGTTTTCGGGAGGCCCGATAACTTTTTTTTTGAGGCAGCCAGCCAACACTCACTTCAACCAACAGTCCAACTCCCGAACAATCAACACACTATGACCAACGTGCGCCAGAAGAGAAAGAACCGCTCCGGCTTGCCCAAGGCCAAGGCCAAGCGCACCGGTCTCCTGAAGAATGGCCGGAAGAAGATCAATGTTCTGGGAAATGCCATCATCGCTGAGAACTGGTACGGACCAAAATCATCCCGTAACGAGGATTCTCCTCGACACAACTTCACAGCCCCTCCCTGCGCAACGACACAGCTAACATGCGATTTCTTTTCTTGAATCAACAGGAACCGCGATTTGACCCTCACACAAAACTACCGCAATCTGGGGCTGGTGCACCGCCTGAATGCGCCGACGGGAGGATCCGAGAAGCGGCCCACGAAGGAGGGGGGCGTCGCGCGCGAACGGGAGGATTCGCTGCACATCAAGAGCAGCGCGACCGCGGTGGCACAGAAGAACGCGGCCAGCGAGATCCGCGTCGAGCGCGACCCGGAGACCGGCAAGATCCTGCGCGTCATCCGGCCCGAGGACGACGACGAGATTGAAGTGGCAGGCCGCAAGCACAAGCGCAGCAACCCGCTGAACGACCCGCTGAATGATCTGTCGGACGACGAGGAGGCGGAGGGTGATAAGGCGATGAGTGCGCAACAGAAGCAGAAGGCCGACAGCGAGATCGTCCGGCAGCTCGAGCTCCAGGCCGACCTGGAGAGCCGCAAGGTCGCCGCCAAGAAGCCCCGCCACCAAAGCAAGAGAGAGGAGGAGTGGATTCTGCGACTGGTGGAGAAGCACGGCGACAACTACGCCGCCATGGCGCGGGACCGGAGATTGAACCCGATGCAGCAGACCGCGGGCGATCTGAAGCGGAGAATCACCAAGTGGGAGAAGAACCGGTCATGATTTGGGTGCCCTGATATAAAACAAATCTCTTTGCATTTTGGCGAGAATGGCGTTGAGTTTCCTCTTATTTCTTCTTCGGATTTCTTTGTTGGGCTAAAAGTGTCTGTGTCTGTCTTGGGTCATATGAACAATGTCCGGCCCTACTTACTTCGCGGGATACCAATTTAGTTGGGATGAAAATGATCGATTCTGGCTGGAGCCACGTCTATTGCACAGTACATAGACGATCAGAGCAGTGGTCCGCCTACAGTATCAATGAACAAAGGTGCTACTAGAGTCATAGATTATCTTGTTTGTAGACATCAATGAACTAAGCCGGCAACCCAGGGCAGTCTTCAACCACAGCACTATGCCAGGGATCAAGTACACAAGCGTTAGTTGGTGATCAGATTATGAAATAAAGGGTGGCTCCGAAACTAAAATATAATATCGTCACCTGAGACAAGTGATGCCTTCCTGGTGACACACTATCGCCTTGTATGGGGTTTTACTCTGGATCCTCGGTATGGCGAACCTACCTGAAACGAATTACCAATACAAAGCTAGGCTAAGGGTATCTCTGTCTAGAAAACATTATATCGAGGCAGAATTCTATCCTACAAATCAAAAGTCTTTACTTAGCCAGATGCACAAGTGTTGCAAGGTCACGTGGCCAATCTGCCAAAGGGTCGGTTACTAGAGGTTATTTATATTTCGGGAAAGATCCTAGACGATTTTTTATAGAACATCACTGCATCACTTACAATACAATTGAGTTACACATAAGATCAACCAACAAAGCATACTGTTGTCAAAAGCCTCATTTTAATACTCAAACAATGAGTCATATACCACAAACAAAAGTTCATCCCTTCTTCTCCATTCCCGCCGACATTCCCTCCGGCTCCACATCCTCCACAACCTTCCCAGTCTCAACCACCATACCCTGCGATGCGGCACCACCCGCAGGTCCTGTGAAATGCTTCCGCCCGGTGGTCACCCACGTTCCCAGGGCAATCAGGGCGATAACCCCGATAGCAGCGCTGGTGTAGTTCATCGAATCGTCGGTGACCGGGTAGGTGGTGGGGAAGTTGAAGGTGATCGAGGCAAACAGCAGGAAGAGCAGGCCGAGGACGTTGAGGGCGATGGAGAGAGAGGATGGCAGGGCGAAGGGGCCGGTCATTGTCTTCTGGTGGGAGGTAATGTAGCCCAGAAGGCGGCTGGCGAGAGCGGTGGCGTAGGAAAGGTCTGTGTTTGGGTCAGAGGGTTAGTTTGACTGTGATAATGTTGGAAGTGGGTGAGGAGTGCAGGAGAAAGAGACAAGCAACGTACAGAACCCTTCAGTGGAAATAGCAATCACCGTCTCGAAGCCAGTACTCGTCCCGAAATCAATCGCGTCCAGCGCCAGCTGCACAACGAGTGTCAACAACACAGCGTTCACCGGGACTTGTCTCTTCTTGTCCACTTTGGCCAGCCAGGTGCTGCAAGGGAGGCCGTGGTCGCGGGCAAAGGCGTAGACGCAGCGCGAGCCCTCAGCCAGGATGTTGTTGCCCGCCACGATGACGATCACAGCGATCATGCTGGCCAGCACACAGGCGGCAGCCTTGCTGCCGGTTGAGTCGTAGAAGATCTGGATGACCGGGACACCCGTGGCCGAGTTGGCAGTCGCGGTGATGTCGCCGATGCAGAAGCAGAGCACCAGCAGGAACGCAAACCCGGTGACGGCACCCAGCACCACACTCATGATGATGGCCTGCGGCGCTTGCTTAGAGGCCGATTTCATCTCTTCCGTCATGTGGGAGGGCGCGTCATAGCAGCACATCCCGAAGCAGGCCTGCAGAATGCCAACGATGGCGGCCATCGCTTTGTCCCATCCCGTGGTATTTTGAAAGTTCACGAAGACGAACGAGGCGGGTTGTTTGTGGTCATTGGTCGCGAGGAGGACGATGATTGTGATGAAGAAGGCGCCAATGTTCCAAATCAGAATAAAGCGCGCGAGGCGGTTAAGGAGGTGCGGGCCCCAGATGTTGATGGCCGCAGCCAGGAGGGCAACGAGGTAGGCGACCAGCACCGTTTGCCAGCGTTGGATCTCATAGGATGGGAAGACGAGGTTGGCCATCCCGAGGACAAACTGGGCGGCGATAGAATTGTTGGTCGCGCCCATCGCAAGGAGGCCTGTAAGTTCCGACAGGTCTTGGTTAGATATGGTTTGAATATTAGACACGAAAGAAGGGGTAAGCATACCTATAAGCATGAACCAGCCGGTTACATATGACAGCCCCCGAGCGATCTTGGGAGGTGCTAATGCCGCAACCCACGAGTATTGACCTCCTGCCACTGGGTACATCGAACACATTTCCGCCATGGGGATGGCAACGGCAAGGGTGAGCAGGCTGACTCCAATGAAACTGAAAACCATGACAGGTGGACCACCCGAGGTCACTCCCACGATGAAGACACCGCTCAGCGCCGTCCAGCTGATCGTCAAGTTAGCAGGATGATATCATTCGATACCTTGGGAGGACCGAGACATACGAGGTGACTACACTAAAACTGAAACCGATCATACCCAGCAGCCCGAAGGTCCGTTTGAGCTCTTTGCGAAGATACACGGTCAGCATGTCTTGGACTAACGTCATCGGTCACCCATACCTTGCTCGTATCCTAAATGCTCCAAACGAACATCTTCCCCCGTCGATGCAGGGGGGATTTGCTGAATCTCATCATCTTGTGGAAGCATCTTCACTATGCCTTGTGGATGTAGTCAACAGGAGCAGCTATTCACTCAGGGATGAGCGTCGGAGGGCTATTTATCAACCGCAAGCACAGTGATGAGACAGCATTAGGGCTGCAACTGCCGCCTGGTTCAGTAAGAACTTAGTAGATACTTGACCAATGCCGATGAAACTGGGGAAGCGATAACCGGGGGAGCGATAAGATAACCGGCAGGTGGTTGCAATTTAACCCAAAGGAGAAGGTTCTCGCGATGCACGGTGGAGCATAAAGAGTCAGGAACAAATAGCACAACCTCCCTTGCGCTTCAAGTCATCCTGTTGTGTAACAGCCATGCCATGATGATAAGCTTATCACGACAACGAGAATCCCTTATTCGATAGATGTAGAATATTTTGCCGTTCTTTCATGAACGGATTACCGATGACTCTCATCTCCGTGGTGCCACTCACAAGCCAAGCTCGCCAGAAGCCGAGAAACCCCTTGTTTGAGGCGCAAGCCAAACGAGACAGACAAGGATTACCACTTCGCTATAACTACTTATGGCCGTCTGTCAGCGATCGGCGAGACTGACGCCGAGTCGCTCGATGACATTGGCCTCGGGCATGCGCGATTCTGCATAGTCTGGACCCTGTCTGAGCTAATGCAGAATAACTTATGATGTGCATTCAAGACCGACTGACCCACAAATCTCGTCTTAAGACGGACTAAACGCGGGGAAGTCCCAGATTTAGGAGTCAGTCTTTATGAGGAGGCGATAATCCTTAGTGAATGGGAATTGGCTTGAGAGCTGTATAAGTTGGTGCTTGAATTTATTTTCCTGACCGTTTCTGGCCCAACAAAGCAAGCAAGCTACTGTCGGAATGTCAGTTACTGTCCTGCAACGCGGGAATGTTTTAAGAGCTATAACACAAGCCATGACTCACTTGATACACAATCCTTGCCAGAGGAGCTGTTTGGAAGCATAATGACTTGTCATCTGGCTGGTTTCCGTCACCGCTGCCGTGGATTCTCTGGAAAATAGTACTCACACCCCGAATGGTCATCATTGAGCTTGCGTACTCACAACCATTATCAATCATGATCTAGCGCAGTGTCCACGAGAAGGGAGAAGTCATAAGCTTGGTCACGATGGCCCACTGCATCTAAGGCTCTCGGGTCACTTTCTCGACAAATAATTATCGATAAGGATGGATTGTCGGAGACGTGCATCAGTGATGAATTCATTCCGCTACGTGAGGTTGGCCAGAGGAACTAGCCAGGAACCACCAAGATTGCGGCGGTGAGCAGCCTGACTAGCGATGCCGCAGGGCTGCCAGCAATATTCTTTTAAGGTCTCGACGAGCAAGGCCAATTTCAGGAATGCCCACAGGAGAAATAGCCAGAACAAGTCCCGCACCTAAAGCAACAGACATACAGCAGATGTGTCGGCTCCAGGCTGCGAGATTGGCAGTATATCCACACGCGTATTCGCGTATTCCCTCCTTGCGAGACGAGCATAGAGCTGCGGAAGGATCCACTCGCCGCCCTGACGAGCCGAATACGCCAATACGACATTCCATGGCCGTCAATACGCGGCTTCACCACCTCAAGCGCCCACCTGACTGGTCCTCGGGGCTCATAACCGAGATTTCAAAGCTGTTGAGACTAGCTCAGGGGTATAAATCTAGGGAGTGTGGGAAAGCGTATACGCAAAATGCGGAAATACGGTTTCGATCCGAAGAGGCCAAGTATATAAACTCCGCTGTTGATCTCGCACTACAATGTTGAGCAGAGGACTTCATCCAAGTTAAAACACCATGTCCATCAACCTGAGCGGGAAAACGTGCCTTGTGACCGGCGGTGCAGGCGGGCTGGGCAAGATTATCGCAACCCGATACCTCCAAGCCGGCGCCAACGTTGTCATCTGCGACATCAACCAGGATCGCCTCGAACACACATCCGAAGAACTCACAGTCGGCGACAACGCCAGCCGACTGCTGACGATTAAGACCGATATCACCTCCGCGTCGGACGTGCAGACCCTCTTCCAGGAGATCGTCGCCCGGTTTCAGAAGCTGGATATCCTGATCAACAACGCCGGAATCATGGACCGATTTGACCCTGTCGGAGAACTAGATGAGGACCTTTGGAATCGCGTGATCGCGGTCAATTTGACGGCGCCATATCTGCTCAGCAAGTTGGCGGTGCAGGATATGCTGAAAAGGGATGTGGTGGATGGGCGCATCGTGAACATCGTGTCCGTGGCTGGGAAGGCAGGCTTTGCGGCGGGTCAGTGCTTTATCCTTCAATCCCCAAATTGGTAACTTACACACGCAACTATAGGTGCTGCGTACACGGCGAGTAAACATGGCCTGGTGGGCTTGACCAAGAACACGGCCACGTTCTATGGCTCCAAGGGCATTCGGTGTAATGCTCTGATGCTAGGTGGGATGGACACAAATATCACGGATGCATTCATGACAGGGGTCAACATGGAAGGGAAAGACAAGGCGATGGATATGATGACAGCTGCTAAGCTGGCAATGTGCGATGTCGATCAGGTGGCGGATCTTTGTCTCTCGATCACCTGCGGGCCAGGGTCAAGCTTGATCAATGGGACTTGTATTCCTGTGGATCAAGGGTTGACCGGATGGTTAGGTTAAGATAGCCCTAGAAGGGGTTGATGTGGTGTTAGACGGAGGTCAGATTGAGTTACTAGGGAAGAATATACCAGGCACTTTGAAGGGAGGCCGGATGCTCGTTTCTCGGAATAAACCCCATCTATCATAAATCAATGCTGGCCATCACTACAAACACACTTGAGTCAAAGGAACTAATCCCCGTCGGCACCTCTCCGTAGCATACCAGACGCTCAAGGCAGTTTTCAAAGATGTCTTTTAGTCTGTCGTCCGTATCACTTTTCTTATGAAGCAAGCGATAAATTGACATTGCAGCACACCCCTGAACTTGCCCAATGCACGCGGGAGACCCTCAAACAGATTGGGACCCACTCTCTGCACTTACGAGTACTCACACTACTGTGACCGCGGGATGGCAAGCTATTAAGGGTTCCGTATACCACCTTTATACTGGCTTAATTGAGGCGATGCCGGATAACCTTTGTTTCCTGTAACCTCAACACGAGAGGCGTTTTAGCACTCACTGATCATGATTGCAAGCAGTCCTCGATGGTCAGGATACGCTGTGCATCCATATTCTTCATACTGATATTCTTTGGTACTTCGTGAGTATTCAATGATTCGACAGGTGCTTACGCCAGACAAAGACAGAAGGCACCTGCATAGGATGAAATGAACAGGACCATATGCACAACAATACACTTCACCAACATCATTTCACCAGAAACTTGTGAAAGAGTTATGCATACTTCCCTCAATGGATAAACAGGCAGGATAAATAATTCTAAGCACTAGTAGAACAATATTCCCCATAGCTAAAACCTTATAGCCGTGTCAGGGAGCAAAAGACTACAATGTCTATATTCAGGTAAGAAAGCACCACGCGCTATTCCATCATCGCACATGAATGCAATTGAGACAGTTGTACGTATGGCTTTGGTCTCTGGATACTGAGTAATTGGCTACCATGGACTGGGGCCTTGGAAAACCGTCAAAGCCACAATCAACTTCCGTTCTCCGCTTATCCGCTCCTACCCGTTGATCCACTCCTGCGCATGCCATTGGCTGATAACGCGACTAGGTACACTGTATTGCCGGGATCAGAATGGATCACAGGAACAAGCGAAGTGCCCCCCCTGCTCCAGGAGGGTGCGAAACTAGTGCAGGTCCTCGGGACTTGACTGTCGGACTTTACTTGTACTACTTTGTATGGATGATGAACACACCACCTAAAAGATGGGTTACCTAATCATCGCCGAGGGAATGCGCCCGCAAGGGTGGGGGAAGGGGGGGATTGTCCTACGATTTGAGTGGTTGGCCTATTTTCCCGCGGTTGTGTGTGGGGTTGGCAACTGGGAACTTACTTGAGTCAAGCCGATACTGAACTGCGCAACTGACACCAGTTGATGGTAGGAGTGCTCCGTAGAGAAGGTCGAGGAGGCAGGCATGCGACTTACATGGTCATGTTCCCGAATCTGGCGACCTGCAGAAACGATCTTCCAGGGCGCCAATGAATGAGGGGCGATATATATTATTTGATAGCTAGTTCCAGCGGAAAGGTGTGACAGAAAGCGTACCATTAGCGAGTGACGCAGGTCGGAGGGCAGTGTGCCTCGATGAGCTGGGCAGGGGCAATTCCAGTCACAGTGGACAAGACAGTGTTTGGCGTGTTGCGAAATAGATTGCCTCGGTGGCTAGGATTTCTCAGCCTAGTCGATCTCCCGAGGAGACACTGTTATAACTTGACGACAGTTATCCTCTTACAAAAAGTTTTGCGAAGGTCCTGTGGCAGGGCGATCTTTTGATGTGCGAGCTAGGTATTTTATGCTGGTGCCTGCGCATTGGGTCAAGGGTGTTCCGCGCATCCGGATCGATCGAATCTCTACGAGTAGTGACATGGGTTACAGTAAAGGTGTTCATCTGTAGCTTCATGGGCGGATGATGGATGAGCGTCAGTCTTTCCCTTTACTCAGTAGAATAGACCACTCGGGATCTTCCTACTGGTCTAGGAGTGGCTGTGGTCGAGGTTTCGGTGACTCACAGACTCGTTTTTCGAAAGGTGACGATTCAGGAATATTGAGACTGCCCTGCTGAATTAGTACTGTGAAGCGCGCAAGCCGGTGATGGAGGGGGGGATCTGATTCAAGTCGGCTGATCGTGCTGCGCCGTTTGGATGGCACCAGTCATCCACTCAGAATGTCGGACGCAAGACACTCTCTTAAGCTTGCCCGGTATTGATGGTGCTGGGGACATATCCTTGCACCATCACATCGCACCTCCCCTCTCAACCCAGCTAGGAGTCTGGTAGAAGGATGAAAAAAGTTCCAGCCCTAAGTCCCGTCCTCCCCACCGTCCGAAGTGATAACCCAGTCCATGGTGGCACAGATAGCTGCAGATTGACTTTGCAGTCTGAACTGCTCGGATCTGGGGTTACGACACGCGGATATCGTCGCGGGTTGTCAACAATGGACAATGGCTTGCATGATCCTCTCCCACCATCTTCATTATCAGCCACAAACAATGTGTGATAGCGCCCGGCAGCCAATAGCCTCTCCAGGTTGACTACATCTGGATCGGCAGAGGTGGTACTGATATCAGGATGTGATTAGAACGAGCCAACCCAGACAAAAGGAGAAGGTAAGCTAGTCACTCACTCTAGACTCGCCTGAGACCAAACGGTTTTGGTCGGCCAGACTAAGGGCGGCGCGAGAGATCGTCGTTTTTTCCACTGTAGTCAGTCTTCACTCTTGTGGATGAAGCGGTGTCCTGACTCGGATTATTTTTGGTGATAGTGGTAGAACTAACAGGTCAGGTCACCCGAGTTTCCCGCGTGTGGTTGCAACAGGTTTTAACGACAGAACGAGGAGGCATCAGGCGGGAGGAAACTGGATCCTCCCGCAGCAATCTCCAAGGTTATAAACTGATCCGAGCCCCATGCAGGGAACGAGTAATCTGGCCACTTATTCTGTCGTACAAACTCTCCGACAACGATCTACAAAGTACGAGTACTGCCCGGAGTACGAAGTACTGTACATATTCACTATTCTTACTTAACTTAATCGCCGCCCTGCCTCCGCTTAGTCAAGCCCCGCCTGACTGCCTGAGGTATTTCACTTATGTACTGTACCTACATGCTCAGCACTACTGCACTGTACTCATTTGAATACCTGCTTGAATTGAAACACGACCGATGAATCCTTTTGAAGCCTGCCAAGACCCCCTCATGCGTTGTCAATCAGCCTATTCTTTCCTCCTTATTGTTCCCACTATACTAAATATTTGTTTTACATGAGGTGTGACCAGCTATCATTTTACCAACCACACCAGCCTCACCTACCATTCTTCTTTCCCCTCTTCGTTATTTCACTTACCTACCTGTCATTCCTCGCTTGTGTACTCCAATGACCGGAGCCAAGTTGGCGTCATTCCATCGACAAAGTTGTTACCATCTTACAACCTTCCAATCTTACCAGCTCGGATTCATAGAAGGCTAGCCTGATTGTGACTAGTGCCCGTCGGTTCCACAGAAACCAATCGTTGATGCCATTCGCAACCAACACCCAAATGAGATAGGAACTTGATCGGTAGGTCGTGCATGAGATTTTCCTTTCTGCTGCATCTCTCGTTTGTTTCTTGGCCGACTTCCCTGAATCATATAAACACTATTGGCATGGAGAGTACATCCTTCGACATGAAGGAGGGCAGATCGCAGCAACAGCAGCAGCACAACGGAAAGAAGTGGAACCCCCCTTTTATGATGATCCAAGATGCATACCGACCGTACCATAAGTTACCCGCCTGCCCCTCAACAATGGATTCCCGCGTCTCCCGCCATGACGCCATGGGCTTTTTTTGGGTCTTGGTTTTTCTTACGTTTGTCAACTTTGTTTGAGTTTCCCCGCAAGCTGACGATCAATTTAGACACAGACCCGAACTTTTCTTTTTGTCCCTGCGTGACAATTCCTCCCCCCCTCGGTCGAGGACAAGATTCAAGTCGAAATAGTATCCGTAATCCTGGGATAACCTCAAATATATCTACCGTACAAACAACAACAACAACAACAACAACGGACCCCGCATAGAGAATACCATCAGGCAAAACAGTGAGTTGGCTGCCTGACTTGGCAGCGAAGAGCCGCTGTCAGGAGAAGGCATCCGGGGTGCCTGGATCCAAATCATCCCATCCCATCGGTTGAACCGTTGAACCCACTCTCGGTACTGGTTGGAACCACAAAAAAAGCGGGATTTAATTTGAACAGGGAACAGAAACCAAAAAAATACGGTACGAAAAGGGACAGACAATCAAATCCCTAGAATAAAACCCTCAATGGCTGCCTTTCCGCCTTCCTCCCCCTCAGCATCCTCCTCATCTGCATCTTCCTTGCCCTCTCTCTATCCGTCCTCCTCCTACAGTTCAATTCACTCCCCACCATTGACCAGTGGTAAGTTCTTCTTCGACTTCGGTCGTTCACTCGTCCGTTGTGCGCTTTCTGTCAAATCATCCTTTTGCCCCACCTTGTGCCAGCAGATCTTCCCACCCCCCCTCTGGAGTAGTGGAATGCACTCTCCTCTTTGGGTTGCTTGCATTCTTCTTCTATCCCAACTGACCCTTCGATGACCTGTTTCATTGTTTCAACTTCACTTGTGGGCAGAGATTAAGATTACCCCCGCCGGACACGTGTGGCATTTGGCTCTGTGCTTGTTCTGCACATTCCCAATGATTCATGCTGATCGCGTGCTCTTAGCCAATCTTTCCTCGTTGCCTTTATCGCCTTCCCAACGTCCCTCTAGTCTTCGTGCCCGAGATCAGCTAGAGACTCTTATTGCGAGACACGGTCACCCCACCAGAGTTTCGTTGTCATCCCTCGAAGAATTAACGGCCACCTCGTCGACTTATAGTCCGCCATCCCCCCACTCACCCGTCTCGGAAACCACAGACTATTTCGCGGGTCTCAATCTCAACCACTCTGCATCTCGTCCTATACCTATACCAAAGCCATCTCATATCACGCACGATCACGATTTTCCCGTGACCCCGTTGACCGGACGCTTTGACAAGGGCTACTACTTCGCCCACCGTGAGCACATCGAGAGAAGTCGCGATAAGCCAACCCATAGAAGACCAGCTCGTCCAGGGCATCGTTCACACTTCTCTGAACCGTCCAGAATGCGCTCTGATAGCTCGACATTGTACGCACCGGTCGCTACTCCTGCCATGTCGTCAGCTGGTCGCCCTCTTTCCCCCCAGCCATCGCGCGCCCGGGGCGGAAACTCATCCAAACCAGCCCCAGCCTTTCATCTGGGAAGTTTGCCACGGTTCCATCCCGCTGTTTATCAGTCCTCTGGAACCTCTCAGACCCTATCTGCGCAGCCTCCATCACCTCGACAACCCCGACAGCACGGATACCGTGCGTCAGCCGGCTCTCGCGACTCCATGTGGCGAGACCTGGCGGATGGAAACATTCTTATCAAAGCCCCCTCGCGCCCACTTTCACCCAGTCCATCTGCACCACGTCTCGACCCGCTGAACAGCCCTGGACCAGTTACACCTCTCGCACTCGAGGATGCAGGTGGCTATCTGGGCTCGGGCACAACCACCGACCCTACTGCCCGCGAGAGCCACTACTCCGGCCCGGCGCCTGATGCAGTGGAGAAGCTCATCGCCCGCGAGGCCGAGAGGGCCCGGCAGAAGGCTAGAAAAGGGCTGAAGGGCTACTGAACAGCCACATCATCGCGAGAAATTAATTCTCTCCTCCATATTGCATTTTCATTCTCATTTTATTTGTTTTCTCGTGTATTATGAGATCATGCGCCTATACCCCATATCGCCAAACCCAGACATTTTCAATTCTTTTCTTTCGGCTACTGTGTTACACACGACATTTCTCTGGTTTTACCGTTGCCTACATTTTCTCCTCTCTCGGAGTTATCTCGATTTCTCGAGATAACATCTACTTCACCTTCAGCTTCACTATACCGGGGACTGTACAGAAACAGACTGTCTTCCTCGAGCTAGACTGGAATAGGAATAGAAATTGACCGCGATCAATGTTCCAAGCATTTTATCTATTGTACTGATATCCATATCGATTATTGGTCTTGAGACGACTATCACTGTTAAGGTATATGTACTAGTGCAGATGCGGAAAGAGTAGCCACCCCGAGGTGTCGACCGGCAGTTTTGCCGCCCGGAGCTGGCTTGCAACTCCCCGAGCCCGCCGGATTTTGCGGGGCCGCATCTTCAATCAATTGTTCCTCATCTTATTTGTCTCCCCCATCTTTTTCATCTTTCCCCACGACTGCATCCCTTCTCCCTCCAACCCCAGAGAAACTGCATAGGTTGTTTACTGATACTTTGAGCTGTGATATCGATTTCGTTGTAGTTCTCGCAACCCATGGACGGCATCCGAATCTATTAGCCCATCCTCAATCTTGTAGTCCGATAACGGACCTCACAACGCACATCCCGACCGAGTTTTATACCTGTCGACCAGGTGCAGCCACTCGGAACGCCTCACTGGCCTAACATTCGAAGATTGAACCTCCCTCACACCCAGGACCATCCGCCGCTCATGTCTTCGAATCCTAGCCCTGTCGCCTCGCCGACAACCAGTCTGGCGGAGCGCCCATCCTTACAGAAAATGGCCAAGGCCGGCACAGAGAGCGGGGTGCCCCCTCCCTCTACGAGCTCGAAGCGCGATTACAAGGGATTTGTTGCGGGCGTGTTCTCCGGGATTGCAAAGTTAACAGGTACGTATTCTTCAAATATCTGCGTTTGGCGCTGCTAGAAGAGACAATCTAATTTGCCTTTGCTGCTTCCTAGTTGGACATCCGTACGTTTCTTTACCCTCCACCCGAGAACCCCATTTCGCAGAATTAATTGTTGGTCGATGATCGCAGGTTCGACACGGTCAAAGTACGCCTACAAACCAGCCATGATTCACACTTCCGCGGTCCGGTCGACTGCGTACTACAGACGGTGCGCAAGGAAGGAGTAAGCGGGTTATACAAAGGAGCCACGCCGCCGCTGGTCGGATGGATGGTGATGGATTCGGTGTAAGTCCTGTTGTGATGATTTTGGAAGCCTAAACCACAGGACTACCGAATGTTGACCATGTCCCATTGTCGTGCAGTATGCTGGGGTCGTTGACATTATACCGCCGCCTACTACTCGAGAATGTCTTCTCGAAGCCGCACATACGCGCGATGACACCGTTCAGCGGTCGTCAGACCGATTCCACCACCCTCCCAAGTTTCGGGCACGGAATCGCGGGCATCATGGCGGGGACGACGGTCAGCTTCATCGCCGCGCCGGTGGAACACGTCAAAGCGCGACTGCAGATTCAGTATTCGGCGGACAAGACGAAGCGCATGTACTCGGGCCCGATTGACTGCGTGCGGAAATTGGTAAGGGCTCTAGTCGCTAGGTGCCTGCTTCAATGCGCTGCTGGTGTCGACGTGGATACAGGAAGTGTGCTGACATTTGTGTTTCTGGTAGCTTCGAACGCATGGAATCTCGGGACTTTATCGCGGACTCTGCGCCACGATCGTGTTCCGGTCGTTCTTTTTCTTCTGGTGGGGTTCTTACGATGTTCTGACGCGGATGTTGAAAGAGAAGACTAGTCTGTCGGCGCCCGCGATCAATTTCTGGGCGGGTGGAATCTCGGCGCAGATTTTCTGGCTTACTTCGTATCCGTCGGACGTGGTTAAGCAACGGCTCATGACGGACCCGATGGGCGGGACCCTGGGGGACGGGGAGCGAAAGTTCCGGCGGTGGAAAGATGCGGCGGTCGCGGTGTATCGCGAGCGAGGATTGAAAGGATACTGGAGGGGATTTGTACCGTGTTTCTTGCGAGCATTCCCGGCGAATGCCATGGCTCTGGTTGCATTCGAGGGGGTGATGCGGTCGCTGCCTTGAATGGGTACACGTACACTGTACTATAAATGCGCTTGAACGACACTTGACTAGACTAGACTAGAGACATCTAGAATAACTCGAATAGAACCATGAATTAATTATGGCAGCAGTGGCAGCAGTGGGCGGGCAGTTCTGCAGTGCAACGGCCGCATGCGGCGCGATCTGGCCCCAATGCAACGGCTGGGAACAAGCCTGGCTTGGCATCTTTTAGCTGGATGCAGATCGTACTTACCCGTACACAGTAACGAGCACTGGATTCGGTCCGCGCGTCCATTTCGTTTCCCGGCAGCCTGCCATTAAACCACATCTTCCATCATCGCATCTTCACCTTCTCTTTTCCTCCTTCCCTTCAAACTCCCCAACTCCACCTGTCTCTCTCCTCCACTCACTCTCTACAGTATGTTTGGGGCACGGTTGGTGATTTCTTTTCGTCCTCTTGCTGGCTAAATCTCCGCTGCCAATTCGTACCGCACCTACTCCCTGTCCGGGCCCAGACTAAGCCACCGAATCCCCCGAATCCTGTTCGTCAACCCAGCTCCGAATCGACCGACCGCTGCAAAACCACCTTGATCGCTTGCTTTGCTTCCCTCCACTCCCTCAGATACGAGAAAGGAACGACAATCCTCCTGCACCTCCCATCGCAAATTAATCTTTCTTGCAGTTGAGCCGGGCTTGGCTACGATGGCCGCGGCACGCCACATGCGTCGCACTAGTCCCATCACCTTGCTACTGGCGGCTTTGCTAGCCTTCGGCTTCCTGTGCTTCTTGCTCTCCCCATCCCCTTCCGCCGCCGCTGCGGCCGCCGGTGGTAACGCACCCCCCGACCTCGACCCCTCACAACTCCGCCGCGAAGACGCGGCCGAGCACCCACTGTCACCACCGACGAAACCCTTCCTCAAATCCCAAGCTGTCCGCGAGGATGGCCACGCCGCGGCGCCGCCGGTGGAACACTACAACCTGAACGCGCTGACGAGCACCAGCGACGCAGCACGGAAAGGCGAGCGGGTGCTCATCCTGACGCCGCTGGCGCGGTTCTACCAGGAATACTGGGACAACGTGGTGGCGCTGAGCTACCCGCACGAGCTGATTTCTGTCGGGTTCATCGTGCCCAAGACCAAGGACGGCAACGCGGCGGTCGCAGCGCTGGAGCACGCGATCAGCGTCACCCAGAACGGGCCGGTGGCCGACCGGTTCGCCAGCGTCAGTATCTTGCGGCAGGACTTCGAGCCGCCGCTGCAGTCGCAGGACGAGAAGGAGCGGCACAAGCTGGAGAACCAGAAGGCGCGCCGCGAGTCGATGAGCCTGGCGCGCAACAGCCTGCTGTTCACGACGCTGGGTCCCGCCACCTCGTGGGTGCTGTGGCTGGACTCGGACATCATCGAGACGCCCCCCACGCTCATCCAGGATCTGACGGGCCACGACCGCCCCGTCATCGTGCCGAACTGCTTCCAGCGCTACTACAACAAGGACGCCAAGAAGATGGACGTCCGGCCGTACGACTTCAACTCGTGGATCGATAGCTCCACGGCGCAGCAGTTGGCGGACACGATGGGGCCCGACGAGATCCTGCTCGAGGGCTACGCGGAGCTGCCCACCTACCGCAGTCTCATGGCCTACATGGCCAACAAGGACTACCCGCAACCGGGGCGGGAGATCCGACTGGATGGCGTGGGCGGTACCGCGCTGATGGTCAAGGCGGACGTGCACCGCGACGGGGCGATGTTCCCGGCGTTCCCGTTCTATCACTTGGTGGAGACGGAGGGATTTGCCAAGATGGCGAAGCGGCTGGGGTACGAGGTGTTTGGGTTGCCGGATTACTTTGTATGTGCTTCCCCAGGCCCTGTGGGAGCAAGTGCTAACTGATGCTAGGTATACCACTACAACGAGTGATGCACCACCGACATGTGGATGGATGCGCTGTGCGCTTGTGCGTTAATCAATCGGCGTTGGGTGGCGTGTGGCCAGAGGTTTGATTTCATGTTCGTATCTGTACTTATACCTATAGAGCCCCCCAAAAATAAAAAAAGAAAGATGAACAATAATCCAGATTTCTCTTCATAACTACCTTATTCCCATCCACCATCAACAACATCTTATTACAACAAACTCCTCACCTTCTTACCCCCACCATCCCCAATCAAATGCGCATTCACCGGCGTCAGAGCCTTCCCCCGCAGCAAAAACCCGAGAACATTCTCCATTGCCAACCGCTCAAAGCCCACATGCGTATCCATCGTGCCCCCCGCATTATGGCTGAGCATCATCACGCGCCGATCCTGTGCCAACCGCGGATGCACCGCCGGCTCCCGGGCATGCACATCCATCCCCACCGCACTGATCCGCCCTTCCTCCAACGCCTGCACCAGCGCCTCCTCATCCACCAACCCGCCCCTGGCGATATTCACCAATCTCCCCCCTTTCTTGAATTTCTGAAGTGTGGCAGCATCGATTAGCGTTCTGCCGGCGAAAGGGGTAGCGAGGACCACGCAGTCCGCCTCCCCCAGCACTCCGTCCAGCGTTTCCGAGAAGGTAGCGTTGATACTTCCCTCAACCTCGGGGGCCTTGCGGACGAGATCGTGGTACACGATCCGGATCCCCGGGAACGCGGCGCTGGCTTTCCGGGCGATGGTGAGGCCGATCGCGCCCAGGCCGATGATCCCCAGCGTCTGGGTGGAGGGGTTTCTGGCCGTTAGCGGGGAGTAGGTGTGGGCGTCCTGGAAGGCGACGGGGGAGAGGCTGTGCGCCGCGGCGTGCGACCACCGCAGGTTCCGGAAGACGGAGAGGAGGAGGAAGAGTGTGGCGTCTGCCACGGATTCGCTGGACGCCGCGGCGCCGTTGCAGTAGGTTATTCCTTCACCCAATCACCCAGGATCAGTATTGGGATTTGTGTGTTGGGGCAGGGGGGGCAGACAGGGCAGGGGTGAAGCGCAATCCATCTACCGTACTGGGCCGGGGG